AGGATGCGGGGAAACCTACTTCTCTTGTGGCAAAAGAGAAACCTTTGCACTGGCTGCGAGGGGAAGATGTCTGTGCACCCAGGCAGCTCCAGCAAAGCCACTAACCACTGCCGGTTCACACCCTGGTGAGGCACGTTCCTATCTTGCGCTACGGAGAGCGATGCAGATCTGTCTGGGCTGCACGAGCTCGGCACCGCTGACTTCTGCCTGGACCGCAGCTTCACAGCTTTCAGAGAGGGACGGCAAGCTCTGCAGAGGAGAGTCCTCCTGATCCGAGATAAACCTCAACAACTAACCGATGCACTTTGCATCCTAATCCATTCGAGGCTGGACTTGTTTTGCTTTCTGATTTTTTTGTGCAGCAGTTGAGTGATTCTGCATCAGAGATTCAAATGCTGCAGAGGGATGTGTAAATGCTTGGGGAAAAAAACCCGACACTTTCCATGAAAAGTAAAGCCATGCCTCTGAAGGTGTCCTGTCCATTTCATAATCTCCAAAAACATCCCAAGAGCACTCATCAGGCAGACCCCAGCTCTGACTCCTATGAGAAATCCCTGACTCACAGATCTTGGCAACTGATTATCAAAGATTAAGGTATTTAAAAATCAAGAGGCATTTGGAACCAAAATATTTTTCTGACCCAGCTCTAACACCTAAATAAACAGTAACCACACTGGCCTTTTACAGAAAAAATGTTCACTCCAAAGCCAGTACCTTTGATAACAGGGCCAGTTGTTTTGTTTTTTGCCAAACTGCTGAGGTTTCATGGAGAAAAAAGAAGGGGGGGGGGGGGGGAAGATTTGTATACAGTTCTGAAAAGGGTCTGATCACTACCTCTTCAAACTGGCAAGCCTCCTGCTGTTACTCTACCTACATCCAAGTAAACTCCTTGCGTTGCTCAACTTCAAGTCAGCAACAGTTTCCTGGAAAGGCCAGATCTTAAATAAATGTCAAATAAGCGCATGCTTCCTCAGCTCCGTGGTCTTTGAACGTCCCCACACAACCCACCACAAAACGTAAAGGCCTAATTATATCTCCATCAGCTTCCATGGCCACACCTACGGGCCAGAGAGCTACCGAGGGTCACGAGCCTGTGAATTTGCCTCCCCATTGTATGGAGCACGCTAAGGCAGGATGCTGCAGCCTCGCCAGGATGTGATTCAGCATCCTGTTTTGAACAGTTAATAAAATCAGCAACTTCTGCCCTAAGATCTCCCACCAAATAACAGTGAGACAATAAATACTGCAGCAAACAGGACTTGTCAAGGATGTAATGAACCACTGTCCCCACAAATAAATCCTTAAGACAGCTGCTCTGGCATACCCCCAGCCCTGTGCACCTTCCCAGTACCACAAGCAGGGCCACTCAAAGCTGCGGATACAAGCCATTCACCCAGTGCTGCCTCCAGCAAAACGTGCTCATAAATCCTCCAAAAAAAGTTAAAGATCAAAGTGTTAATAAAGAACTTTTGGTGCACTAAAATATAATATACAATAAAGTATAAGGCATAAACATCCTGGCTGTGGTGGGCACTCCGAGCAGCGCGGAAGGAGAGCTGTGCAGAGCAACCTCACAGCTGCACAGAGAAGAGCCTGAACAGAGAGCTGGAGTTGCATTCGATCTTTGAGTTTCCATACTGAAAAGGCCAGTCGTAGCGCCAGCGAGGAATCTGGTTTATTACAGCGATTTTAACCCAACAGCCTCCTTATAATGAGTCCTCTGGCATGCGCCAGCCGGGACGATGCTCTGTGAAGAGTTTGCAGCAATTACTCCTCCTGTTGCTCACTGAGCTGCAAAGGGAGTTTTCATCAGCCTGAGGGTTCCTCCTAATTCCTGCAGCGAACACAAAACCAAGTGAAACCAATGCCCAGTGTAACTTCACTACCTTCAAAAGAGAAAATTACTTTAATTCATTAAACTACAACAAAAAAGCAGTAACTGAAGGAACCGTAGAGCTGGTTATCAAGCCAGCATGTTCATTCCTGACCAGGTAACCACGCAAAACACAAATGTGAGGTGGAAAGCAGGGGGGACATGGTGCCTTCTACCCATCACAAACAGCTGTAGGTTCCTCAGAACTCAAAAGCTGTATGACTCTTATGGCTGAAAGCATTTAATGCTGAATAAAACCAAGCAGACCTAACACTTTACTCTGAGTGTTTTAGAAGATGACCTAATAGTCATCTGCCAGGCTGCAGATGGGAGAAAGGGGCTAAGGAACATGAAGTAACTTGGCGAGGTACATAGGATGGCATCAGCAAAGAGAGGAAGACTCCCAGTCTCCTCCTCTTCCTCTACCACTTCCCCGTT